TTTTGTTTAATTGTTGTCATTTAGAATATTTTATTTTATTATTTAGAAATTTTCAAGATCAACAAAAATTAATAAATAATAAAATATCTTGGAAATATATTTTACTAATATCTTAGTTTTTAAACTTTGATATTCAGAAATTTTCATGGATTGATAAAAAAAATAACAAATAACATCGTGGAAAGATGTTTTACTGCTTTATTACGATTTATACTCGACGGCCGAAATTATAGATAGTGATTCATCGCTAGCTCTTGGACTAGTAAGGAGGATGAGGCGTGCGGGCAACATGATGTAGAAAATATGGAAAAAATATAATAAAACATAACATCTATTATTTTTAGAGGTTTTATCGAGAAAACTTCAAAAATATTTTAGTAACATTTTGTTTTTAAATTTTAAGTGTTTTCTATAAAACGATGCCCTCTTGGGCATCGATAACCCACCACCACCCGGCTTACGCCGCCGCAAAATATTGTAATGTTTACTATTAATATATTTATTTAAGTAGGTACTTACATATTTTATAATAATTATCTCACGAATATTATCACTGTCACACTTTCACTTCACTGCCACATAATCACTTCACNGTTGGGATGTTGTTGGACAAAGTCACGTACGTGTCGATAAAAGTTCCAATGGACTAGAATTGTACCATGACCTATCCAACGCGCCTCAAATTATGACTGTTTCGACATTCAGCAACATTACTGACGCTAATATGTCAGGATTGGACGAGCACACAAAACTGAAATTAAAGCAACTTCTGTTAGATGCCCAAGAAAAGACTGCTACTAATATAACGACAGGTGAATTGAAAATTCGTTTAAAGGACGATGTGCCAGTCGCATTTCGACCTCGGCGGTTAGCACATGCTGAAAGAATAAAAGTACAAGAAATTGTCCACGAATTATTGGTCAGTGGAATAATTCGAGAGAGTACGTCTTCTTATGCCAGCCCAATTGTGCTTGTAAGAAAGAAAACTGGCGATTTACGAATGTGCGTCGATTATAGGGAAATTAATAAAAAAGCTATTAGAGAACGCTACCCCTTGCCTTTCATTTTGGACCAAATTGATGCACTATGTCATGCCAGCTTCTTTACAACTCTGGACATGAAGTCCGGATTCCACCAAATGGAAATTGAAGAAAACTCGAAACACTTTTCTGCATTTATCACCCCTGATGGCTTGTTTGAATATAATAAAATGCCGTTTGGTTTCGTTAACTCTCCGGCCGTCTATCAGCACGCTATTGATAAAGCCTTACAAGGACTAAAGGGTAATATGGCTTTCGTGTACATGGATGACGTTTTGGTTCCCTCAAAAACTGTACAAGAAGGATTCCAGCATCTTAAAGTGGTATTAGATGCCTTAGCGAGTGCGGGTTTTAGATTAAATTATGCGAAATGTGTCTTCTTTGCCAAATAGAGTACCTTGGAGTTATTATTGCCAACGGAACGGTACGGCCTAGTACTAGAAAAGTTATAGCTCTTAAAGAAGCGCCTGCTCCCAAAGATGTGAAAGGTGTACGACAGTTTCTGGGTCTCGCCAGTTATTTTCGCCGCTTTATAGAACGTTTTTCGGTTATTACGGCTCCAATCAGTAAACTGTTGCGAAAAAGTGAACCATTTGAATGGTCTGACGAGTGCGAGTGTGCAAGACATTTAATCATTGAAAAATTGACTGATAAACCTGTTCTAAGAATTTTTAATCCGAAGCTGCAAAGCGAATTACATACAGACGCTAGTTCGATTGGTATAGGTGCAGTTTTGTTCCAAAAAGAGAATAATCTTACTTATCCTATCGCATATTATAGCAGACGAACAACAAACTATGAATCCAAGTATCATTCTTATGATTTGGAAACCATGGCTATTGTCGATGCGGTGGAACATTTTCGCGTGTACCTGTATGGAACACATTTTACCATATACACTGACTGTAATTCTGTTCGAGCTACTGCTCTTAAAAAGAATTTACATCCACGAGTAGCTAGGTGGTGGATGATATTGCAAGATTATGACTTCAACATCGAATATCGACCTGGACCCAAATTAGCGCATGTAGACTATCTTAGCCGAAATCCAGTTANAGATGCCGACGGCCTCTATGCTTAAGCCGGGGATTAGGTCGGTGATTAAAAGGAAAGAAAGGGATTCTTTCCACGTAGCCTTAATAAAGGCAGGTAGATCTTGCTCGTTGCAATGCACTTCACCTCACAAACAAACACGTCCGCTCAGCTCGGCTGTTCGCTCTGAACTGACTTTACGGTAATAGTGTTTCTATATTATGTATGAATCACTATCTATATTTTCGGCCGTCGAGTATAGTTAATGTATGTATGAAGATTTGTCAATTTAAAACTGTAAATAAAATTGAGAAAAAAGTATCTTTAAGGCTATTGTCGCGGATCTTCTGTAGTCTCAGTTTCGTTCAGCAACATAGCTCCACGTTGGGCGCAATGTCGCGGAATGTTATTGGTCTCGGTCTCTTCCAGAATTAAGGCCCTCGGTTGGTCACCTGGCTACGAGGTAAATTGGTTACCTATTCCCTGTGGTGGTCCCACGTTGGCGCCACGACGCGGATGTACTTCGTCCTGGTTGGATCCCGTCCGTTGGGACCTACTAGACTCTTCCCTAAGGATCATCAACGGGTCGTACACCCGCTTGATGAGACGGGAAGCTCAGGTGGGGATGCCACAATCTATTTGTTTGGGGTGTGTTGCGACCTACACAGCCGTTCGAGCACTTCACTAAATTTGGTTTCCAATTTGGGACGCTTGGAAACGTGGTTCTGGCTTTTGTGTCACCCTGTAGGCACTTGATTCGGGTGTGATACCTAGTGTCTGAAAATCACTGTCTTTGGTTCACTGTGTACGGACTCTTTGGAGCGCCGGTAATGAAACTTTTAGGAGGCTTGGTTCAGCGTGGAGTTGAGAGAATTGGAGCTCGAGGTTTGGGTATTTTTTGGAGAGAAATAATAACTTGAGAATATTATTTGAATGCTTCTTGATAGAACAGAATGCTATGAATACGAATTATTTTAAAACGGTGCTAGATTCTCATCAGGTACTGTGCCCTGGCTGTAGCCTGCAATTACCGCGGGTGCGCGTTCAATCGCCGGCAGGGGTAGGGCTGCATTAAGGTGGGCGATAGGGGCTGGGAGTCTATGTATATTTTAGCTGATTTTTTTAGAATGAAACCAAAAATGTGTTTAAGTTTTGAAATTTTATATCGACAAGTAGCTGATTGCATGACGTGACCTTTTTATTTAGAATTAAACAAAAACCTATTCATTTTTTTGTTTTTTTAGAAAGGGCCTGTGTAGAGCTTGTAGACCCGGGCCTCACCATAAGTTAACCAACCGGCTCTGGGCAGGGTGGATCTCTCTCGGTCGAACGGCTGCTGCATGGTCTGATTCAACTACACTTCATTTTGGCTCACAACCTTTGCATCTTCTCTTGGTATGGTCTGTCGGTAGTAGTTGGTTATCTAAAATTAAATAGATTCGACCATAATTCGACCCTGAGGTCTTGCGGGAGACGGCTTTGGTGTCGATCCATCCTCTTGAAAATTTTAAAAGTGGGATTTCGTCTGGGTGTCTTCAGAAGTTGTTATCGGGTTTTTGGCATGGTAGAAGACCGTTCGTAGCGTCTGGGGAGCTTCGAGCAGAATTCGAAACATCCGTGAATTTTGACATTCTTTTACGGCTTGCAGATAAACAGTTATCATATAGTGTTATTTTTATGTAAGGATACTTGTATAGATGATATTTTTTACAATTTTGTAGGTATACTTACAGAAACTTTCCAAAATTAATGAAAAATGACGACTCATTTATCCATTTTTATGTGACTTTTCACATCCAAAACGTCACTAAACACTATGTACAAACAATAAAATTAAAATGTTTCTACTAAATTATATATTTTCATACCACTTTCCTGAGTGGTAATGTAACTCCTTAAGGATGCTACAAATAAAGGATGTTGAAAAGATAAGACTCAAAGAATTATAATAAATATTTTATTTAACTAAATAATGTTCCATCACATGAAAAAATGTACAAAAATATGTAACATAAATAATAAATTATCTCTAAATTACATAAATTCGAAACAATATATTTAACTAACATTTTAGTTAAAGTGAACGTAGAATAACCACTGGTATATAATCTATCTGCCAGTGGTGTATACAGTGGCTTGACCTCTCATTTTTTTTCATTCTACCTATATCTAGTTCTATAATGAGAAATTTGATATAAGTTAACAGTACATAAAAACTAACTGTATACACCATTGCTCTCTGCATATGAAGTAGGTATTTAGAACAGTTGACAAATGCTCCTGGAATGAATATAGTATGAATAAAAGAAAAAAGGAATGATTATGTCTTTTTAATGTAGTAAACAGAATAATGGAAAAACAGGAGGTAAACATTATAGATAATACATCACATACTAATAAATCACATATGAATTACAGATCAGGTCAATGCCAGAAACAGATGCATTTTTTAAAATTTTTGTTTAAGAGTGTTGAACTATACTCATAAATACTTTCTTTAGTAAGACATGTTTTATTAATTATTTAATGAAAAATAAAATTAATACAATACAATACAAAAAATTGAAGATAAATTATATTTGTGCATAATTTTAATTATTGAAAACAATAATATATAAAGCTGGCATAAATAATTTTTGAATTTTTTTTATATAAAATAAATAGTAAGAAGGTATTATACTATTTAATGAAAAATTGCTTAATATATAAATATAAAACAAAATAAATATGTATGAAATATGTTTAAAAATAATTTGAAAATAAAATATTAATGCTATTATTTTAACTATTTAATTTATAGTGTAACAAAATATTTAAAAAAGATAAACTAAAATTAATAAGTTATTTGTTTATATGAAAACATATCAATTTAGATTAAATGATAAAATTAATTTTATTAATACTTCAAAGTTTGAAATTAATGCAAGATGAGAATGCAATGTATTTAAGAAAATTATTTGTTTGCCAACGTTAAAGCACATCAAGTGTTATACAAAAAAATATATTTATGCATAAATATTTTTTCTAGGAACTAGTATCTGTGAAAGTAACAATTTTTTCACAGTATAGTCAATATGAAAGCAACATTTTTCTCTCAGGATGAAAATGTTTATTAGCTATCTGTTTTATCTCTAGAGATGAAAATGTCATACCTAAGTTTTTTAATTAAGGTAGTTATCACCTAAATCGACAATATTCAAGATAATTACGAAACTTTGAGTATAAGTAATTAATTATTCACCTGATAGATACTTTTGCAAAATTTCAGCACATTTTACCACATAGTTTCTGAGTTATGCTTAATCAAAGTTGACTATGTTTAGCATAGGCTTAGTGGCGCCACTTCTTTGGTTAAGGAAACATGAGGAAGTGCGAAACACTTATCTATAGATTGTGAGCAGGAAGACGAGACAGTTTTCTGTGTAGTACTCTGCGAGTGCACTGGTGTCTCGTCAACGAGAGAATCCGTGCTTGGAGAAGGGTGGCCTTCTATGGCCTACATCAGGGAGACCCCCTGAGCAACGCCATCACCTTTTCCTCCTTGATAGTTTGGTTGACGGTTCAGGATAGCTGATCTTTCGCTGGGAGGATGCACAAAGAGCCCAATGGGGCCTAAGTGCTGTAACTCAGTATACTGACTTACCCTCCAAACTAATCCAGAATCCGGAATGGCGCCACCTCAAAAAATATTGTCCTTACGATTAAAATGTTGCTGTAGCTAAATAACCCCATTCGGGAAATTGCTCAAATTTTAAGCAAGACCAATTCGGAAATCAATCTGGAAAGGATTGACCAGCTAGGATTAAAGATATTAATTCTCAAACCACAAAGTTTTTCATATGATTATTCAGATAAATGAAACGTGAATTGAAGAAAGGTTATTTTGTTTGCGTGCTGATATTCTAAAAAATTTTGACGTTTCAGTTTGCGTTTTTCGTCTAAAGGAACTAATAAAATAAATCAAACAATAAGGACGATTCCTGCAAAATTTTTTTAAAATGTACCAAATGATTGTAATGCATCTACTATATTTAACACTAATCTAACTTAACCTTGTGTCGCGTAAATATAAGTTTCCATCAATCTCTCTCTCACACACAGCTGCAATCTGTACGACCAGAGAGACTAGACAAGGATCACAAACTCATACGGGAAAATTGACAAAATTTGTTAATGTAATAGTAGAAATTACTTATAGTTTTTACCGGTGGAGTCACTAGTGTTCCTTGTACACTGACATATTTTCAATATTTATTGATTTATTTATCTAATTCAAAGTAGTCTACATCATTTATTTTAAAATTTTTAACACATCACAAAAACGACATGATTGATTTTTAATTCAAACTGCCGCTTTCTTTATCACCCCTCCACTATTTCGGGGTATGTGGGACACTAGCGCCCTCTAATTTGGTAAAATATTTGTTTACATGGAATTCGTGCTCCCTGTGTAGTCTCCATGTGTATAATGTTGCCAGTTGTCAAAAATTAATTGACTCAAATATGAGACTTGCTCGAAAGTTTTCTATTTGAACTCCGTACTTGGGATATAACTACCTTAAAACACTAAACTAACTAAATTTACATGAACATAAATTAATTGAATTCCAATAGAATATTTGTTTTAAAAACCCAAAATTTAATTAAAATAATATCTTACTTAACAAATAATGTCCTTTTCTATGTGAGAGTGACAATTCTGAATAGAATGTTTGCCGCTGTGGAAATGACTAACAATTTAACTCATATGTTGCTGAATAATAGTTCATATTGAATTAAGTTGAACATGAATTATATCAGTCGAGAAAATTGCATTTTCTACTCAAGATGAAATACTTTTTGTGAACTTGTTAACTGTCCTTTAATTCAGGAAAAAAACGACATCTTCATCTCTTGTTGCAAAATATACTTTTGCATTTGTATTAGACGATAGCGCCTCGTACATAATTTTAATTTTATTTTTCATTAAACTTTCGCACAAAAACTGTCAATAAGGAAGGTTAATAGATATACAAGAAACGTATTTTAATAATTTCAAATATTTTGTAATACTGATTGGCTTTACTGCTGATGGTAATGCACTGTCGAATTACTAGATTTTTTTATATTTACAATAACTTATTTTAAATAATTTTGATTGTTTACAATGGCACACACAGGGAATCCAGGGAGAGCTCTACATATTAAATCTTTCCATAAAATTTGATATTTAATATACTCAATTTGGGGGTCTGTATATGTCATTGCATGATTATCAAATTTACAAAACTTTCTCTGTAGGTACTACATTTAAGTACTTTTAGAAATTTTCAATTTGAATTAGATGTTAAAAACATTTAATAATCGTTTAAAATGTTTCATCAGTACTGCTCCAAATGTGAAAAAACTCCCAAGTACTTATACATAGTGTAGTTTAGGCACAAATTCTATACAAGTTGAAGACACTAATGTATTACAATAATGTTAAAGATCTTTTATGAGGTCGTCTTCTGCAGGAACACACATAAACAACTTCGCACAACCATTGTTAAAGTCATTAAAAATCTTACTGAGCCAATACGGTTTATTTTTCCAGCCGATAGTTATGAAATAAACTGGTATGCCACAGATTATAAACGAACTGCCTATAACTACTTCAACTGGACTAACATAACAAGGAAATGTTACTAAAAAGGCACAGATTATGAAGAAAATTATAGGCAGAAGAATGTTTACTTTAATAGGACGATTCCAGTCACGTCTTGTCCAACGCATGTAAAGTAGTCCTGTTACACTAAGCGCGATAAAAAGAGCTTCTACGAAAGAAACATAGTTGATAAGAGTATACACATCTTCTATTATCACTAGAGCCAGCGTTATAATACACTAAAACAAATAAAACATAAATAAAATTAATATTAAATAGACAACTGAAATATAAGCTTATAGAAAACAAATATTCAGGATATAACACCACAATGTGCAAAAATGAAGGAACATTTTCTTCTTCCAAAATGATTATCAGATTATCCCTTGTAGCCATTATTTTTGAGATACAGTATGCTGAAGTTTTTGAAAATATGTTTCAAAACATCTTCTGAATAAATGAAGAATACTGAATCAAAATTTTCTGTGTATAATACATGGACAAAATGGCATTCAATAAGAAAATATTAAATCTCGGTTATAACCACTGGTATAGTAGTCCAGAAGAATTACACATTGGCATGGCTGTTGCTTGACGTAGATTAGATATTAGTAAAAATCGGTCGAAAATAATATAAACAATGAAAATATAAGGTTGCGCCAAGAAAAAAAGTTGTGCTATTCGCAGAAAAAATTAAAAACTGCAAAAATACTCAAAAATCACGTGTTTTTCCTAACATTTTCCAATATAACTTCTTAAATATGCAGTTTACAGAAAAAACTATTACTGCTGAAATTGTTTGTTATGAAATTTGCTATAAGACACAATTGTTTTGAGACCTGCGTATTCAATATTTTTGTTGCTAGAAAGCCAAAACAGCGTAAGAAAGTGATGAAAATCGAGGTAATTTTGAAGCGTTCAACTGATAGGTAAGAAATTGTCCAATTCTACTATAAATGTACATGTAAGTACTTTAAAGGATTACAAAACGAAATTCCAAAACCCGATCGAAATCGGTCTGATAGTTTTGGTATGAGACAATTTGTTACTAAATTTCAGCGCGAAATGTCGTTATTTTTTTGCGTCAGTGCTGGGGTTAAAGTTAGGCATTTTAATTGGCGCTGATTTTTTTACACATACTTGGACTCTTTAACTATCATATAGAATCGTTATAATATTAATTTTCTTTTTTTTAATAATTTTTGGAGCGATTTTAAAAATTCGAAAAATTTTAACTTTATAAACAAATACTTTCGTGAAGCCGTTTTGCGGGTTGGAATATATACCAAAGTACTAAAAAATAGTTCTCGGAAAGACGCTTAACTTGAAAAAAAGAACGTTCAAATCGGTCACATAAGTTCCGAGATATCAAGTGTCAAAGTCAACAAGCGTTAGCTGCAAAACTATGCATAATGTAACAACAACAAAAATTGAATTTGGTAGGTTTTTTAAGAACTTTTCGTATGTGCTTTTATAAATATTATCGCACGTGTGCTTTTTATATGAAAATTCAATGAATATCGCCAAACCGACCGTTTGAGCCGCAAAACCGGGGGGAGGGGATGAATGATAGAAATTGAAATCGCGCGTTCAAAAAGAGCGCGCCCTCTTCGGCGTTCAATATCTCGGCTTCTACGGCTCTGATTTTGATGATTTTTTTTAAATCGATATAGCAAAATGAGAGGAATTCAATTATCAAGATTTCATTGAAATATTATAAAGCCTTATCAGCCTATTACGACTGCTTAAAATTTCATACATTTCATTGTTGTATATTCATGTAAATAATATCGATGACTATTGTTAAGAGGTATTAATTTTAATAACTACTTGGTAATAATGTTTAAAATCTTGAAATTTTTATGTCCTAATGTAATTTATTTATTGTTTACATATAAAATAGAAAAAAATGCAGATACAAATAATTATTATTTGATATTTATAAAACGTATCATCGCATTATTAAAAAATGTATTAAGCTTTTTTATAGCATAGTTGCTGATTTCGCTCTCAAAAATTTCTTCCTTTAGTAAACAATTAAAAATCGCACTTTGCAATTCATTATACAGGCTGTCATGCGGTGACGACCCATTAGAATATTTCGGAGACTACTTCGATTTGAATTTTGAAAATTTTTGACCTGGTGGTTTTGGAGGTTTTATTTAGAGTTTAAATAAAATAATGCCATTGTTGTAGTACTTCCGGTTATACCGGTAGTCGCCACCTATTTGCTTATTATAAATGGAACATCCTGTATATTTTTGTATATTTGAATTCTACGCATATTTTTAGAGGACTTTTATAAAGCTTCCCTATATGTATCTCTAATGGTCTAATGGTCTTCGACCTATTTCAATTTCATATTTATTGTCGAATTTGATTGACCGAACCGCCAAAACTTGGTTTTTCTAAATGGGACACCCTGTATATTTAATAAAAATCTGTTGTAGAAATTTACTCCACATATATCCATATTACACCTCCCTATACCTATCTTCTAATTTTTCTGTTTTTGACGGATTTTGTGATAAATAAAATGATCATTTTCTTGCGAGGATGACTATGAAATTGGAGGCAAATTTAAAAAATCAAATTAACCAACCATAAGTCATTATTTGCTGTTAATTTAACAGTGGTATCTACTTACAATTAGTTAAACACTGATTTGAAAATAATGGACAACGATACGTATTCAAATGCTGATATTATAAGTGAAAACACCAATGATGTAAAAAAGTGAAAAACTTTAATAATACGATGATTATGAAAATATAATATACACGTTTTGTAAACATAAATAAATAATTATTTGTATTTATATTTTTTCTGTATTATATGAATACAATAAATAAATTACATATTAAATAAAAATTTCAAGATTTTATTTAAACATTATTACCACGTCATTATTAAAACAAATACCTGGTAACAGAGGATTATGTACCTATATCCTACCATCGATATTATTATTTACATGAATATACAGTATAACAACAAAATGTGGAAAATTTTTAGTCGTAATAGATCGAAAAGGGCTTTATAATATTTTAATGAAACCTTGGTAATTGAATAAAAATAAATCATCAAAATCGGAGCCATATGCATAGAAGCCGAGATACTGAACGCCGAAGCGCGCGCGCTCTTTGAACGCACGATTTCAATTTCTATAATTCATCCCCTCTTCTCGGCTTAACGATATTCATTGAATTTTCATATAAAAAGCACACGTGCGGTCATATTTGTAAAAACACATACGGAAAGTTCTTTAAAAAACCTACCAAATTCAATTTTTGTTGTTGTTACATTATGTAGTTTTGCAGCAAGCGCTTGTTGACTTTGACACTTTATATCTCGGAACTTATATGACCGATTTGAACGTTCTTTTTTTCAAGTTAAGAGTATTTCCGAGAACTATTTTTTAGTACTCTGGTATATATTCCAACCCGCAAAACCGCTTCACGAAAGTATTTGTTTATAAAGTCAAAATTTTTCGAATTTTTGAAATCGCTTCAAAAATTATTTAAAAAAAGAAAATTAATATTATAACGATTCTATATGATAGTTAAAGAGTCCAAGTATGTGTAAAAAAATCAGCGCAAATTAAAATGCCTTACTTTAACCTCAGCACTGACGCAAAAAAATAACGACATTTCGCACTAAAATTTAGTAACAAATTGTCTCATACCAAAACTATCAGACCGATTTCGATCGAGTTTTGGGATTTAGTTTTGTAATCCTTTAAAGTACTTACATCTACATTTATAGTAGAATTGGACAATTTCTTACCTATCAGTTGGACTCTTCAAAATTACCCCGATTTTCATCAATTTCTCACGCTGTTTTGGCTATCTAGCAACAAAAATATGAAATGCACAGGTATCAAAACAATTCTGTCATATAGCAAATTTCATAACAAACAATTTCATCAGTAATAGTTTTTTCTGTAAACTACATATTTAAGAAGTTATATTGGAAAATGTTAGAAAAACCACGTGATTTTTTAGTATTTTTGCAGTTTTTAATTTTTTCTGAAAATAGCACAACTTTTTTTCTTGACGCAACCTTATATTTTCATTGTTTATATTATTTTCGACCGATTTTTACTAATATCTAATCTACGTCAAGCAACAGCCATATCTCGAAGGTTTTGAGCTTAATTCTCTTGGACTATAGATATGAAGTTACCATTTTCCTCCAAAATTATAACATATGACTGGAAAAAAATATTGTCATTCTTGTAATGTAAATTTACTGAATACCTTTTGATTTCATTGCACAGGTTTTATCATTTTGGTACAAATTAACAATATTTTATACGTTTGGATAAAAATAGAATATATCTAAATGATTTTACAAATTAAGCTTAAAAATGTCACCCTTATTGCAATATCCTGTTATTTACTATCTTAAAAATTCTTATATTCTTATGAATCAGATGATATTCTTTTTTAACATCTTGGCAAATGAGGACTTTAAGGAAAAATGTTTATATAAGAAAATATTCTTAAGTTTNTTTTAATTTTTTCTGCAAATAGCACAACTTTTTTTCTTGGCGCAACCTTATATTTTCATTGTTTATATTATTTTCGACCGATTTTTACTAATATCTAATCTACGTCAAGCAACAGCCATATCTCGAAGGTTTTGAGCTTAATTCTCTTGGACTATAGATATGAAGTTACCATTTTCCTCCAAAATTATAACATATGACTGGAAAAAAATATTGTCATTCTTGTAATGTAAATTTACTGAATATCTTTTGATTTTATTGCACAGGTTTTATCATTTTGGTACAAATTAACAATATTTTATACGTTTGGATAAAAATAGAATATATCTAAATGATTTTACAAATTAAGCTTAAAAATGTCACCCTTATTGCAATATCCTGTTATTTACTATCTTAAAAATTCTTATATTCTTATGAATCAGATGATATTATTTTTTAACATCTTGGCAAATGAGGACTTTAAGGAAAAATGTTTATATAAGAAAATATTCTTAAGTTTGGACGACATTTTAATTGTAGTGTTACAACTTGTATCTTATCTATGAATTTCACGTTCTATATGGACATGTATGTTTGTAAATAATTTTGCAATAATAATTTTTATGTAAGTCTTCTACTTGTTGCATCTGTCGAGATGAGATAGAATAATATAATGACAATAAAAATTTAACAATGATAACAATGTAACACAAACAAGAGTGCCATTTCAGTTTAATCAGTGGAATTAGATAATTGTTATATCTAAGCTTCGAGTACGTGGAGATCATCGACCTTCTTTTATTCAATTTTAATGGTTCATTATTTACTAATTTTAATAGCGCATTAGTGAATAATAATAGCAAACTCACCATAAACACTAAAGATGGGACAGGAGTCAGTCTTTTAATATCAATGAGGCATATTGCTCGAGGCAAATGCCCTGCCCTAGCTCCAACAAAGAATAACCTGGATGAAGCAAAAATCGCTCCATTTAATGATCCAAATGTAGAAAAAGCAACAAACAGAGGCATCAGGAACGAAAAGGATCCTAACATTTTATCTCCAAATGTCACAGCAACTGCTTCTGAGGATAATATATCATCCCTACTGAGTACTACAAAATACGCTACATTTGTGATAACGTAAATTATGGTTACTACAGGCATGGAAATGCATATTGCTCTAGGGAGATTTCTGCAAAAAATATAAACATATTTATTAGACCGCAAAGATAAATTATCTTTTTTTTGGGACTGATAAAATAATACTTTAATAAATAGAAACAGAAAAATTTGTTGATTCCGAACTTTTTTACTTTTTTCTTAAACAATTGTTAATCTGTCACACAATTTGTCAAATGAAACACTGTTTATGGAGTATTGCGTGTTTAATCATTTTTATGTTATAGCAAATTTATTTCTTAAATAAAGTATTCATGTAGCCCGACTTAGTCTGCTCAATATAATAATACAAATTTTTGCTAACCTGTACGGGTCCTGTAGTTCTTCAGTAACATAATTCAAATAATTCCACCCTGAGTAAGAAAATAAACCTGAATAAAAAGCTAGGGCAATATATCCTGGTTGCCACTTGGTTCCTTCCATAGGATCCTTGAAATGTTCAACATGGCCTGTACATAAATAATATATACCAGCGGCAACTATTATTAATAATGCAAAAATTTTTGTAGCTGTAAAGATATCCTGCACCCTTGTCACCAATTTAACGTTATAGCAGTTTATTACCTAGAAAAAAAATGTTTAATCGCTCATAAGTGTAAGAAATATATCATTAAATAAGAAAATATTTAGTTTTTTCTTTCTAATCTAAATCTAGCGTGTGTATTATGGAAACTAAAGGGTCATCTCGATAGTTTGTTTCAAATTGATGTTAGCGACATCATATTGAACAAGATTAACCTTTAAACGACCGGAGAGTTCCGGAGTCACATATATAATGGTCATTACATCAGGCAATACTGATCAAGAAAACCTTTTTTCTTTGAAACCATAGAACGCAGCAGACTTGTATACATAAGACCCTGATGGGTCAATGATGGATAAATAAAAAGTGTGATTATTCTTCTTTATTGACTAAATCCTGTATTTAAACATTTCTTGAGTTCTTTTTTGTTAAATTTTGGTAAATACAGTTTTTAATGAAAACAAAAATTAAAGGCACCTTGCTTAGAGAAAATTTCACATTTTAAAATTTTTTGGACGCCCTGTATATTTTATTACATATTTGATTAATGCCCATGGCTTCCCAAGATAAGTAAAACTTTTTATCAAGATATACTTTTTCTCTAAAAATCAACAATAAAAAAGTTTACAAGAGTGCGGTGGAACCCCATCCGGGGACACACTGTATATATAAATTATACCCCTAAAAAATATCGAATTTCACGGGAAAAATGCCGGCACCCTAAAGGTAACAAATAAACTAATTTTATAAGCAACTATCTACATTTCTATATAAAAAAAAACGGCTACAAAGTTTAATATGGGTGTTTGTTAAGTGGATGCATTCCTTGCAGGAGGTTTAGTGCAAGTGATTTGTGATATATTTTTTCAATATACCATATTCCGGAAACGCTTAGTTTCTGATCTACAGGGTGATAAAGTTTTAATAAAAAAATGCAAATTTATAAATATTGCGGAAACCGCTCAGAATATTTTAATAAAATTTTACAAGCTTTGACAGTTAACAATAATACATATTCTACGATAAAAATATTGTTTTTAGTTTCACCAGTGGCGTGCGTACAGGCACGTCTTTCGATATTTTTAGAGAAAAAAAATGATACGCCATTGATTTTTCTTAAAATAAAAATTATTTTTGAATTCCTTGTTCAATTTAGAAGAGAAAAGGTATCTCGACTGTTTTTCTTATGACGCACCGTTTTCGAGTAAAAAAATTAAAATCGATTTTGTATTGATAATGAAAGACCCTTTTTGTTAGTGGACTGTATTTTTGTATTAGAGCAGGTATATAACTTGGGAAGCAATCGGACAGGCTTGCAAGATTTATTTATCGGACTCGAAAAATATGTAAAATTTGTCACTATGACAGTAAACAACCTACTACTACAAAAAACGAAAAACAACGCTGCTATGTCTTGACCAGATTTATTGCATGGCGTAATCCGGTTTCAATAATTTGAAAAATAGCAGAAATTATGCACTCAGCTTTTTTTTGTACCAATTTTGTTACAAAAAATTATTCCTCGCAGTTAACATCAGTCTAAAAAAATTTTATCAATTTTTATATTCACTATTTACAATCTAAACAGAAATTAGCAAGTTGGCTGTGCACTCGTTTTTGTTATTGTTTGACAAAATTAATACTAGGTGTCACTTTGAGAGTTTGAGTGTGAAGCAGTTAAGTGCATAATTTCTGCTATTTTTCAAATTATTGAAACCGACTTACGCCATGCAATAAATCGATTTTATTTTTTTTACTCGAAAACGGGGTGTCATAAGAAAAACAGTCAAGGAGGAATTCAAAAGTAATTTTTATTTTAAGAAAATCAGTGATGTATCATTTTTTTCTTTAACAATATTTAGAGACGCGCCTGTGTGCACGCCACTGTCACTGGCGAAACTGAAAACAATATTTTTATCGTAAAACATGTATTGTTGTTAACTGTCAAGGCCTTAACTGTCAATACCAGTAAAATTTCATTAAAATATTTTAGAGTGGTTTCATATTCCAATTATAACTTCTAAGTCGTTACCATGACAACAATAAAATTTGGACAATTAAAAGTAACTCATGATAATGTTTATTTCCAAGTTTAAACTGATATTCAATACGCCTGGATTATACAGGAGCAGCCACTGAAAATTAACACAGTTTTTAGAATGTAGTTATCTGATCAGTAGTTTTCAAGACATGTCGATCATTGTCAGTTTTCTTAAATACCCACATATTTTCCCGAGTATTTAGTACCCATTTAGAGTACCTTTAATGAATTTTTTCAAATTTTTATTTCAACTCCTCAAGAAGTTGTATTTGAATATTTTGGGTAAAAACTTTTCAAATACCTGTAACTTAGCAAAAACTAAAGATATCATAAACTATTTTTTTCATTGCGTTTTTGGGATGTAGTTTAATAAAAAAAAATATATAAAAATAATAGGTACATTTTTATTTTTTCGAGTTTTTTAATTTTTAACCAAAAAAGGGTTTTTTGAAAAAGAGTGGCGTATTTTTTCAAAAAATTCTCAAAAAAATCGTCTCAATATGCAAATTTATGAGACAGGTTCTAAGTAGAATCTTTTTTATTTAATTTTTTTCGAATGATTTGACTCCTGTAGGTGTTAATTCTGAAATTTTAAGTAACCTTGTTAACTAGAATAATTTATTCAAGACTATTGCAGAATTGCCTCAGGATCAAATAGAACCGGGTCAATGCATGTTTGTAACACTAACAGGTTTTCCATTAATGTAGAATTAGGAATTAGATATGTACCTACTTAGGTAGTAACGATTGCATTACTCAAATTGATCCTCAGCAACTTTTCTAAGCTATCCTCAAAGTATAGTTGGTTGTCTCTGATATTTGTATAAAAACTCGACGGCTGGTAAAAATTAAAGTTGTCATATTTTGATAATGTTTCATTCATACTGTTTCTTATGAGCCCACGTAGACAATTTACATGGAAAAAAAAAATTTTGAACAAAATTTGCGGAAAAAATTAAACTAAGGACAGCCTCCTCCCAGATCTCGAAAAAAAATTGCATGTGTACGTGCAAACAATTTTTTTTTTCATAATCAACTTATACATACAAACATGTGTTTCTGTATAAAGCCGCAATGAGTTAAGTTTTTCTTGGAACATAAGGTAACATTGAAAATATAAATTAATTATTTTTTAAAGTTGGTAAGATTCCAATGGGACATGAATTATGTATCTCTACTTATCACAATTACATCCACATTAGTCTTGTGTTAGATATTTGTAATGGGATAACTATTAACAAAATGTTTTTAAATTAAGGTTTTGCGACAACTTACCGTCAATATGCACGTGGTGGCGGCAGCCAAAAGCCTGACAGCTTCGTATGGTGCAGGACAATTTCCCCATAGAGGTTGTACGATATATTGAGCAAAAGTAATGGCAGTGATAGCATTACCAGTCGGAACTAACACAAATAAAGCTACCCACAAATATAGAAAGGCTGGCAGAGGCCCAAATGCTTCCATGATGTATGCGTAGTCTCCGCCAGATTTTGGAATCATAGTACCTATAAATGATTAATTTGAAAATAAATGGTAATACCTATATTCCACAGTGGCAAATGTGGATTTTAACTTAATTAAAAAAAAAATTGGAAAATTTAATTGGGAAATGAGAACAAAATTTGGCTGCCTATCTATGTAGTCCAGGATAAAAAGGTTGGTAAACAAAACAAGATTAATAAACAACGCATAGGTACGTTCATATTTATATACATCTCCGTTGGTACTATATAGGGTCTTTAAATGTACGAGGTTTGTTCAGAAAATATCCGAATTACGCGCTAATGGAGATAGGTATTTTGTGATATGCGGTTGGCAGCATTGCGTTGTGCATAATCTCCTCTGCAACCACATGTTCTTGGATTATAAATATCTCACTTAGTTTTCATGATACAGTTATTTGAGAGCGACGTGTTTAAGTGTTAGTGTCAATTTTTAAAATGTGCAATTTTCTGGAACAACGATGCAAGGTAAAATTTTGTGTGAAACTGGGGAAAACTTTCCCGGGAACGTTTCAACTTACGGAGATGATGTTCTGGGTTGTACGCAATGTTACCAGTGATTTTCACGATTTAAAAGTGGTCGTCAGTCAATTGAAGATGATCGTCGACCAGGGAGACCTACGACTTTAACAGATGGCTACCATGTTCTCAAAGTCTGGTGCGTGCAAATCGGCGATTTATTATCAGAGAAATTGCAGAAGAAGTTAACATCTAAACCGAGTCATGTCATGAAATTTTGACAGAAAAATTGAACATGCATCGAGTTGCAGCAAAATTTGTTCCTCGTTTGACGGTGAAACAACTGAAAAGCAAATCCTTGAAGAATCCAATGACGATGAAACATTCATTCAAAGGATCATAACGGGAGACGAAAGCTGGGTTTACGGCTACGACATTGGCACAAAAGTTCAATCATTATAATGGATTGGCAAATGATCTCCACGGCCCAAGAAAGCACATTAGTCTTTTTCGACTAGGTATAATGGAATTGTACATTTCGAATTCTTGCCTCAAGGTGAACCGCGTGTACTATCAAGGTGTTTTACAACAGTTACGCGAAAAATTCTGCAAAAAGATACCAGAGTTGTGGTCATGGTTCTTGCACCATGACAATGCGCCCGCACACTCACCTTTGTCAATTTGTCAGTTTTGTGCCAAAAATTTGCGATTTTTTCTTATTTCCGAAATTAAAAGCAGTGCTGAAAAGGCGCCGTTTTCAGACATTAAAGCAAATTCGTCACAGACTTTAAAGGAGTACTTCGCGAAATGGAAATACCGCTGGAAAAAGTGTGTGAATAGGGGAGGGGAGTACATTGAAGGAGACAAGGACCAACATTGTATAAAATTAAAGTTTAAAAGATTTTTTTTCATATTGTTTTTTGCTCTTGAGTTTTATAGGTTTTTACCTCTACTCTTATCATGTTAATAATAATAATAATAATAGACAAAATCTTTCGAGATGAATGGATAGGGCGAAGAAGACCAAGCCACCTAGTTCTCCAGATTTAACTCGTCTAGATTTCTTTTTATAGGGATACTTAAAATGTAAAGTATACCAAAATAGACCACAAAATCTAGATGCATTAACAGAACTCATTTGGATGGAGATGGCACAAAAAACTCCGGAAGTTATAGATAAAGTTCGAGAAGAGTCNATAATAAAATAAAGTTCGGTTATTTCTTGAACAGACCTTGTATTTATTTATTTAAAATTCAAGGTCTAAAATTCTGTGAAATCTTCTACATATTTTTCTCTATAAGTATAATATAGGAAATGAAGAGATACATAAATTAGCAGACCAACTTTCAAATTTTGTAATTTTGAATACCTTATAATTTGTTGTAAAATTGCGGTGAAACCTTTTTCGTGTCGTTTTTGTTTAAGGGGTGGTTTCCTTAAATTTATATAAAGGTAGCAAGCATCCCATCTAAAGACTGGACGATAATTAGACTGGACTATAATAAGAAACATCTATTTTTTATCTAACTGGAAATAAAAGTTAGATCTACTACATTTTTCTGTTAATTTCTTATTAAACTTAATAATGTATGACTGACTTGTTTACAATTTAATAGAATTATTTTTAATTTACAATAGTTTTAACTGGCACTGGTTATTTTGCGATTCCATATGTAAGTATCACAAAGTAAAAGCAGAATATATATATATAAATTTTAATTGATTTGTGTTACAAAATATAATAAACATATTGCAGTTTTGGGTTTGTGGTCTAAAGATCGTTTCCTTTTTGATAGATTTGATAAAACATACCAAATAAACATAAATAATAAAATCGAAAATTATCCAGCCTACTTTATGCCTTTGTAAATTGATTTTATAAAAATTATCCAACACATCAATTTTTGTTTTTGAGGTGACACATTCCACACAAATTTTTTTAAGTATTTTCATCTGCCATTTCACCCCCCATGGGGAGCAACTTCCCCCCTAATAATTTTAAACAGTTTGAAGTGGCATATACGAGAATGCTCCAGGATCCCTAAAATAGAAAAATGACGTATTCGAACAATTTTGATTATTTCCAGAGGTTGGTCTCTTTTAAGTGGCCCATACTATATGTATTATTACAAAAAGACTGTCTTAATAATGTTTTGCAAACAATTTAATAAAATGAATGGTATGTTCAAACGAGGTTCAAAAATAAATAAACGACCATGATAAGCGATAAAAAAATACGTATTGGAGAACTGATTGTAACTAACACAGCTAACTTAATATTTCAAATGACTGCTAATTAGTAGGTACTTATTACATATTTAATTTGCAGAGAACAGTTTCCACATCGGAAAATTTCGGTAATAAAAAAATAAATAAATTCATATTGATTCAACATCTTACCTTTTCTCATAAAATTCAAAGTAAAATTTGTTCCTAACACTAACACTGAAATTAATAAATAGTATGTATTTATTGTAACTGTATTTGAATAAAATGTATATTGTATGTTTATTATACTGGGTATTGCAATACTCCATTGAAAATATTGTACAAGGGGGGGGGATATTTGTAGTAAAAAGATTTAATTTAAAATTTAGTTTACAATGTCATCTAGATAAACAAATATATTAAACTTATGAAATATGTACATTAAAAAGGAAATGTCAAAATGATAAAGAATAAAACAGATTAGGTAACTGTCTTTGCTCAAAAGAGCCTTAGCAACAAAAAATGGTGAAATCATAAGATTTGTGTTTCTAAAACAATATTACTCCAGATTATTTCGTAAAAAGTGTTGAATGTACCGAATTTAAACGGATTATGCGATTATGTTAAAATTCGTAAAACAAATGAGAATAACAAAAAAATTATAAAAGTTTATCACCTTATATCTCCAAACAGCGTTTGTGGATCTACTTTTATTGAACTTTTTTCTTGCTGTTTATCAGACCTTTAGAATTTTATCAGTGGGGTATTACAGAATACCCTATGACCTAGAAGCAGTGATGTAAAATGACCGTCATTTAAACTCGTGACCAGGTCATGACGGTCATTACACGTCATAAATAGTTTCAGTTAGGAAAAATAATAGTACTTAAATGTATTTTAATGTCATTTTTCTAAAATATAAATTACTGAATCTCAATATTGCCTTAATAAATTCATCAACAAAACTATATTAATATTAAAAAAGTTTTTAACTACAAAACAAACAACACAAAAAAACACATGTTCTTTGGCTATAGATGACAAATATAAAGTATTAAAACAAAAAATTGTTACCATTGGTTAAGTTTTAAGGACACCACGTCACCAGGTGGAACATAAACCTACTTCTTACCACATTGACAATGAATATTTAATACATATTAATTTAATATTAACATTAATAAAATTATCAAAAGTATCTATAAAGTGATTTTATTTTATTGTAATAAAAAATAATAATAATAATTTAAATATTTAAGAAACAAAACCTATCATGACGCGGTCGACCGCGTCATGACGTTTAAATGACGGTCATTTTACATCACTGCCTAGAAGAAATATAAAATATGTCGAAGGGAACGGATTTGTACGAGTATTACATAAATTTGATACATTAAAAATTTTTGTTAGAGCAGTAATCGATATGTACAAAAAATACAAAAATTACGTCACCATTAAACCTATTTTTGGGAAAATTATATCTCCAAAATAAATGTGTTATCTTAAATAACAATAAAAATGTGATATAAAGTTATTTATAGATATCTTTACAACAAATTAACTTATTAAAATATTGCAGAATAATTACTCATGTTATAAGAATAAACAAATAAAAATCTTGGAGAAATCGTACTCGGAATTCTAAATTTAATAATTATGAGTGAAGAAATATCTAATGGTTTATTTATAGGTTCTTTTAGTCCCTCATAAATATACGATAATAAAGAAAGATTATTACTAAGAATGTTTTACTACACATATAAAATACCAAATGAAAGAGGAAGAAAATGAGGGTGGGATATTGTCCTAGTACGAATCGGTACGAAATAGTTCGATATCGATATTTCACCATCAATTATTGTGATATCTCTCTCGTCTTTATGCACAGTATGAATTGCAATATTTATATTAAGGGTGGAGGGAAAGTGGAGTGATTGAGAAGAACAGAAGTAATTCGATGTATAAGTCTGAGTAGTGTTATTAAAGCAATTATACCTATACAGTCTGTTTGATTATAAAGGCCACGGTTATCCATTTGTGGACGCCCTGTAAAATATATACATTGTATATTTTTAAATGAGATGTTATTTTATTTACACTGACGCACATTTTATTTTCGTCACACTGTAGATGAGTGGTGTCTTCATAGATATTTCTTTTAAATGAGATTGTATTGAGAAAGGAATGTTCAAAATCGATTTCATATTAATGTATGGTGTGTTATGCTAGGTTAAAAAATATTAGGGTCATACTTCTTTCATGGTCCTTTAACTGGTGAACGGTATAACAATTTTTTTAGAGATCAGTTAAAAGAGTGTTTGGAAGAATTACCTAA